GAGGAGGAGGAGATGCTCACCCCAAATAAGATAGCCAAGATTAACAGGCCAGTGGTCATCATTTGGAAATATCGGGCGTTTTTGTGGCTTAACCCGGTAGAGTAGAGCATTTCCTCAACGTAGAGGTAGATCTGAAAGAAAACCAGCACAACAAAAGATCTCGGTTTCCAGACACGTTCAGAAGATCTTCATCATTTTGGGTTATGTATCCTCTAGAGCAGAGAAGTCTCCAAACCTGGCAACTTTAAGACTTATAGACTCCAAGAAGCCTTAGCAAGGCCACACCTAGAGTCCTGCATCCAGTTTTGGTCACCACACTATAAAAAAAGAGGTTGAGACTCTAGAAAGAGTGCAGAGAAGAGGAACCAGGAGGATTAAGGGGGCTGGAGACTAAAACATATGAAAAACGGTTGCAGGAAGAGGGCCTGGCTAGTCTAGGGAGGAGAAGGACCAGGGGAGACAGGAGAGCAGTCTTCCAATATTTGAGGGGCTGCCATAGAGAGGAGGAAGGGGGTCAAGCTATTTTCCAAGGCACCTCAAGGCCAGACAATGAATAATAATGGATGGAAACTGATCCAGGAGAGATTCAACCTGGAAATAAGGAGGAATTTCCTGACAGGGAGAACAATCAACCCACGGAACAGAAGTTGCTTGCAAAAGTTGTGGAAGCTTCATCCCCGGAGGCTTTCAAGAAGATAATAATCTGTCAGAAATGGTGTAGGGTCTCCTGCTTGGGTGAGGGGTTGGACTAGATGAAACAGCCTGTAAACAGCCTGGAAAACAGCCCCAAAACAGGCCCCAGAAGACCCCCCAAAAGGCCTGGAAACGGCCTGGAAACAGTCTGGAAAACAGCCCCAAAACAGCCTGAAAAATGGCCCATGAACAAGCCGAAAACAGATTGAAAAACGGGCCGAAAACAGCCAAGTGAGTGCTGCAGGAGGCCATGGAGGGTGAAAACGAGGCATTGGGGGGGGGGTCATGTACAGACCCCTCCACTCCCCATTTTGGCTGGCAGGGCGCTGCAGGAGGCATCCGTCCTGCCCCCCTGCCTCCTTACTGCTGGCCTTCGGACGAGAACTACAATGCCGATCTAGCCCTCAAAGAAATCCAGTTTGACACCCCTGCCTTACCACATTGACACCAGAAAGCTGCTGGCCTGTTTCGATGATCACCACCGAAACCAGGTTCCAATGGAGTGGACGATAGCACAGCAACCGCAGGGCGTTCATGTTCTTCTCATCCTTCTCAAAAAGGTCCTCCCGTCGGAGTTCCTCCAGTTCATCCTCGACGTCACTCTGCAACCTGAGGTGCTTCAGGACTGGGGAGAAGAAACAGAACCTCCCCCCAACGGTTGAGGTTGGAGGGGGACAAGAATACAGGATAAGGATAAGAATGGGATGGTGTCATGCTCCCCGTCGGAGCCTGAATCTCTGAGGGAATAGGAGCATACCCCCAGTCCGCCAGATACTAGAAAAACTTCTAGCAGCACAAAATAGAGAACCTCTCTTTGTTGTGGCCAGCCCAGAATGGCTTGTACTTTGGCTGGGTCCATCTCTATGCCCTCATTGGAGACTCGGTAGCCCAGGTAGCTCAACTGTGTGCGGTGAAATTTGCATTTCGACAGCTTGACATACAGGTGTGCTGCTAGAAGTTTTTCTAGTACCTGGTGGACTAGGGGCATGTGGTCGTCCATCGTCTCAGTGTAGATGAGGATGTCAACCAAGTACACAAGAATCCCCTTATAAAGATGTTCATGTAGCACTTCATTTATTAACTGCATGAACAGACAATCTCTAGAGCAGCTTCGGTGGCTTCGGAGGAAAATGGGGAGGAGCAGGGCCATTCAGGCCAGGGCCTTTCAGGATTGGGATGGCTTGTAGGCAGAGAGGAAGCGGGGGGCAGGATGACCAAGAGAGGCTAAGCAGTGAACATGAGAAACAGAGCTCAGGCGATGAGAAAGGACCCTCCTGATCCTCAAGTACGGAGAGTGGAGAGAAGGCGAGAACAGCACAGACTGATGCGAGTACTCGGGAGGAGAGCGCCCCGCCCCTCTCCACAAGGCACACCTGGGGATTGAGACTTAGGGAGACACTTAAGGAGGGGCATTTGTCGGGAACAAACCATGAATTAATGGAGTCTGAGTTAATGACATTAAGTTAATGTCTGAACTTAGCTGGAGGGATGATGAGTGAATCACTGGAAGTTCTGAAGGACCAAGCTGGGGACAGATCCTCCTGGAGAAAACTTATTTATGTGGCCACTAAGGGTCAACAACAACTTGATGGAACATAATCAATGAGATAATACCTCCTCTGACCACTCCCCATTTTCACATTTCCTAGAGTTTGGACTTGTTTAAACGCCACACAGGCTGCAACAAATTTAAATATGGCTCCACCCCAACCCTAGCAGATACCTTCTCTGGCTTCTTCTTCTTCTTTCTTCTGCATCAACAGGTACCTTGGACTTTCAGGGCAGGAAGGGAGCAGAAGGATCTGCCAGATAGCTAAGAGCCCAGGCAAACTCACCAGGACTGGCCAACCTGCATGAAGAGACACCAGTGGTCGAAGGAGGGGATGTTGGGTGATGTAATCCCAACACTTCCCCGCCCCCCCTTATCAAGAGGAAACGGAGTTACCTTCTACGGTGCCCAGTAGTTCAGGAAAGGCAAATATCTGAGCCAGTTGGACCCCGATCACCAGAAAGAACTGGGGCACCATACCGATGGAACCCCTCATATTCAGGGGGCTGGTCTCTAGGAGATACATAGGAATCACGCTGGAGAAAATACCTGTGGAACAATAACATTCCAGACATGTTCAGAAAACCTTCAAAGTTGGCAACTTTAAGACTTGTAGGACTTCAACTCCCAGAACTACTCAGCAAGGTATGCTGACTGAAGAATTCTGGGAGTTGAAGTCCACAACCAGAGGTGGCCAGTTCTGACCAGTTCTGGAGAACTGGTAGCGGAAAATTCGAGTCATTCAGAGAACCGGCCAATCCCACCTCTGACTGGCCCCACCCCCATCTATTCTCTGCCTCCCAAGTCCCAGCTGATCAGCTGGGTCTTCTTTGGTTGCCCTGCACAGGAGAACGGAGCTGGAAAGCAGGGTAGGGGGGTTGGGAGGGAATGGGATTTTGCAGTATCCTTCCCCTGCCCTGCCCACCAAGCCATGCCCACAGTAAACCGATAGTAAAAAAAAATTTGAATCCCACCACTGTGCAAAACCACATCTGGGCAGCACCTCGGAAGGATCGTGGATGCATTTAAGTCAGGGAGTGGAACAGCTTTAAGGCAAGATAATCCTATTCGGTGCTAAGGTCCTTGCTTCGGCCACCAACATTAAACTGTGGCAGTTGTTCTCGTTGGAAAACATGGGCCCGTTTCCTTGGGAGGCGACTTTCTCTTCGCTTAGGAGGGTTCAACATGAAATGACCCCCACACACACACACACTTCCCCTACTCACCCATTGAGATGCCAATAAAGAAACGGGAAAACATGGCGAAGATAAATCCATGCTGAAGGTTGGCATAAATCATCAACATGGAACACAGCAAGGAAATATAATTATTGGTCATCATTGTCCCTTTCCTGAAGACACAACAGAAAGAAATGCTGGGGTTCAGAAGTCTTTTCCATCTTGGATAGTATTAGAGAAGAAGGCAAGGACCGGTGAGCAATGTGTAAAAATTGGGAGGTCCTAATGAGGTGGAAAACTTAGTTTTAGGGATCTATCGTTCAGGTTTAATTTGTCCAGGAATGGTATCTATCTAAGAGGTGCTTTAACCATGATTTATTCATTTAAGCCAACACTCTCTGAGTTCACCCAATACCCAGCAATATAAATCAAGAAGTGATATTTTTATTGTGTTTCCCCGAAAATAAGACCCTGTCTTGTATATATTTTTTGCCCCCCCAAAAAGGCACCAGGTCTGATGTCATCCACTGACTAACCTCACTTGCATGCGTCGCTCCCGGCCTCCTTTTCGCTGTCAGAGGCCTTCAGGAACTTCTTCTTCTGCAGCTGGCAAGGCTTTCCTGAAGGCCTCTGCAGCCAATAATTGAGCTCTGGATCGATCCAGAGCTTTGTTGCCAGCTATAGAGGACTCCAGGAAAGCCTTACCAGCCTTGCCAACTGCAGAAGAAAAGGGCTGGCATGGCAGGTGTTGGGGGGTGCGAGGCCTGGCTACAACTGTCCAAAGGTAAGTAGTAGGACAGCTCCACCTCCCACCTCCCCACCCTAGCTTAATTTTCACCCATCTACTCTGGAGTGGACGGGATCTTAAATAGGGCTTATTTTTGGGGGGGGGGTAGGGGGCATGTGTAAAAATATTGGGCGCATGTGTAAAAATCAAGCTAGGACTTACTTTCAGGGTAGGTCGTATTTTCAGGGAAACAGGGCATGTAGCTGTTTAGACTAAAGTATCAGGAGTCTTAAAACAATCTCAGCTGTTGAGATTTTGACCGACAATCTTCATTCTGTCTTTGGGTTCCTGAACTGCCCAAACCATGGCTTCATGAGACCCTCGTTCACTCAAGCCATCATGTTGCTCATTTATGGAGCCCAGGATTGGCTTGGCACCATACGCTAAGCCATTAAAACAGGGTTAACCAACGGTAACAAACCGCAAAACGAAAGGGGCGTGCATAAGTGCACAATCATGCCTACCGTCCCTGTCCTATTGTCCCCATTTGTTTGTATCTATTTCCTGTATTCTTACTCATGTTTATACTTATACCTGTTATCTTGTAAGCAATGGACAAATCAAATAAATAAAATAAAAATAAAAAACATAGCTTGGTATCCGGTGGGAAGCCAGAGTTGGAAACCAAGGATAAGTCCAAACTTTTAGTAATTTTGCCTGTACAAATGAGGGTATGCCCTCCCAGTCCCCCAAAACTGAATGAACCATTGTTGGTTATAACTCAACAACTATTAAGAAAGATACAGAGGTTGAGAATAGTGGGAATAATGAGGAAACCCTCATTCTGCAAGCAGACCTAGTTGCTTTAATGAACCTCAAACTTCATTTCAATCTATTCTCCTTCTTGGAGAAGATCAAATTCCATATCCAACCATCTTGGGGGCTTGTGAAGGTGAACTTCAACCCACATTTCTTGGAGTGGACTAAGATGTCACTCTCTTCTTTTCTTTCCCTTCTTTCTTTCACTCTACTCCAAAACCGCCTTCACAGATGGGTCTTCGCGGCACCCTAAATCCATTTACCTGCCATATTTATCCACCAGGACTCCAACAAGAAGTGAGCCCAGCATGGCTCCAAGAGGAAACAGGCTGCTGGCTATACCGATCACAAACTTGTCGTGAATTGTATCATTTTGACTGTCATTTTTCTTCCCGCTGTGATAGGTTAGATTATAAAATTGTCGGATGAGCTGGAAGGAAGAAAGGAGCAACTGAAATAGAGACCATGTCATGCCCCTAGTGGAGACTGACTCTGAGGGAGAGGAGGAACAGCCGACAGGGAGTAGAAGTGTGGCTCCAGAGGTTGTGGAGGAGGCCGGGGAAGGACAGACGCCAGCTGAGTAGTCAGAGGAGGACCCTATCCATCCTAGGGCACATAGGGAGGAGAGGATAATGACAGAAGTATCATCCGGTTTGTCGCATCTTAACTGGCACCTTCTTTGCGAAGGTCACTCACCTTAGTGTCCGAGTAGCAGAGCCAGTGGTTGTAACCCAGCTGGAGCGACGCTAAGCCCGTTACAAAAACAAGATGGCGTGAGGTTTCTGTAAGCTTTGAAGAAAAAAGACAAGGAGAGGTCTCCATTTGAACGCAAGAAGGCTTCTGCAGGCTGTGCAGGCCGAAAACTAGGCCCGTTTCGTCATTTCTTGTTTTCCCGAAAATACCAGAAGTGACAAAACGGGCCTAGTTTTTGGCCTGCAAAGCCTGCAGAAGCCTGCAGAAGCCTTCCTCAAGCCTCTGGGAGGCCCAAAAGGGTCTCAAATTGGCCGAAAATGAGCTGTGAGGTACAGTGCAGGTAAGGGGGCGGTGGGGTGGGTGGGGATTTCACGTGCATGTTAAGGAGGTGTGGGGGCACGCGCATTGCCTTCTGGATGCTGGCATGCGTACAATTTTTGGCACAGGAGCCCCAAAAGGTTGGCCACCACTGACTTAATACATTAGCTGGATTCTAAACTCCTGACAGCAAGGAAGAACTGATGAAGGCTGACTCTAAACTTACTTTTTTTTCCCCTTGTCAATAAGGCAGAGGACAATTCTGAAATAAGAATTTAGCAAGATTTTGCAGCTTCTCCTGGCTAGGATTTCGCTGCAAATTCTTGCTGAATTCTTATTGACAAAGAGGTTGGGGAACGAATGAAAATCTGGTAAAACGTAACCCACATGTTTATAAGAGGGTTATACTCTCCTTTTCAGGGTGCAGGAAATAGTGGGGTAACCCCATTCAATATTTCAGCCGAGATAAAAAAACAGAATCAATAGGAAAGTTTGATTTTAAAGATATTTTTAAAAGCCCCACCACGCCTTCCCCAATTGCTAAGGTGTCCTATCAGGGTATTTGTATACATTAGCATGAATTTAAATTTAAATCAGGGCCAGCCAGGGTGCACAGCTGACTCACTTGGAAATGACTTGGCCAAATTTTGATGCCTTGCTCAGAGATTATTTACAGCCCAAAACGCAAATACATTTGATCAATTATTATTTCTTTTTTAGAGCAATTCACCTGTGTCCATTCTTTCAATATCACTTTCTTATCCACTTCCGTTGTGCTTCCCATGGTTTTGTGAAGGCGACAATCACACCAAGCTACCTGGGAAGAAAAAGGAGAAAAGCCTGTTCAAAGATCCAGGGAAATTTTTCGTTAAAACCAGAGGTCTCCAAACTTGGCCACTTTTAAGACTGGTGGACTTCAACTCCCAGAATTCCCCAGCCGGCAGAGCTTGCTCTCTTGTAATCCCTTCCTCTGCAATCTCTCTCCACTTTAGGAGGTTAAGAGAAAAAAAAGAGACAGACATGGCTGGCTGGAGAATTCTGGGAGTTGAAGTCCACAAGTCTTAAAAGTGGCCAAGTTTGGAGACCTCTGGTTAAAACAATCCCAGACTGAATGAAAACCAAGAAACTCCCAAAACCATTGAGTACGGAATTATTAAAATAATAATTATTAAAATAAAATAATTATTAAAATAATACGGAATTATTTTTTCCTGTTTTTTTTCCTCTGCTGGCTATACAGGTAGCAGTTCATTTAGTGACAGTTTAATGTGACATGAAAAAAAAAAGGGACTTAGGACTGGTTTTCACACTTACGACCATTGTTCCATCTCCGTGATCAGGGGGATCCAAATTTGGGCGTTTGGCAACTGACTCGCATTTATGACGGTTCCCTTTTGCCACCTTCTGACCAGGAAAATCAATGGGGTGACCCAAACTGGCTTAACAACCGTGTTACTAACTTTTATTCACCGCAGTGATTTACTTAATGACGGTGGCATGAAAGGTTGTAAAATGGGACAAAGCTCCCTTCACAGCTGTCTTGCTTAACAACTCACAAGCTATCCTGTGGCTCTTGAAATTAACTGGTTGCATTCACAAAGCAGGTTAGACCAGAAATGAAACACTAACCTCCATGGGGGTTTCCAATTTGGTTAGTTAGTCCCTTCTTTTCAAATGCCCCACTTGGCAACTAAGCCAGAGACACAGAATAATTTTGAACTGACTAGAGGAGTCAGCTGTGATCAGGGTATTTTTCGTGTTTAGAGAAGAAAAGAGGCAAGAAGGAAAGAAGGAAACAGATGGGAGGGAGGGAGAAAAGGAAACAAACACAGGAAGGCAGGAGGAAGGAAGGAAAGAAGGAAGGAAGGAAGGAAGGAAACACAGGGAGGAGGAAGGAAGGAAGGGAGAGAGAGAGAAGGGAGGGGGAAGGAAACGAATACAGGAATGCAGGAGGGAGGAAGGAAGGAAGCAAAGAAAGAAGGGAGAGAGAAGGGAAGAGAAGGGAAACAAACAAACACAGGAA